ACACACACACACACACACAGACACATACACACACACAGCACACACACACAGATCTACAGGGATAGGGAGCAAACAGCTCTGCTTCCAGTCATCATGCATGTATCCGGTTTCTTTGACATGACCTCTGAAGCCTGGGTTTTCTCTTTGGCTTCTGTAGCTTCCCACATGCTATGGGCCACTCTCTTTCCCAAACACCTCTCTTGGGTCACCTCTCTTTGCTTCAGTATTCTCAGTGTTCCCTTCCTCTGCTATGTCCCCAAATGCCAATACAACTCCAGAAGCCAGCACAGCCTCAACTCATATTAGAAGATGAATAAATCTTTGCTGAATGGATAAATCCAAGTTTTATTTGATTTCAGATCAAGATCTCTCTCACCCCCCCCCACTTTAGCTTGACCTCATAGCCCAAGCAAAAGAACGATCTGTCTCTCTCATTAAATTGCAGAGCCTCATGTGGAGGCTTGTGGATGACACAGAGCGTGAGTGGTTAGCAAACAGTAGTAAAAGTGAAAAGCAAGTTGGTCCGGTCGTATTACCGTCTTTGTTTTAATAATTCGTGCGTCGTAGGCTCTAAGAATTCCCAGAGGCCTTTTGGAGCCAGGCAAGAAGGTTGAGCAATCTGGGGCTCAGTTGCCCCAGGCCCAAGGCAGCCTCACTTCCTGCACTGCATAGGAGCTGGCAAACCAGAGCTCTCCTAGGTGTTTGCAAAAAGCATTTGTTTCCCCTGATTCTCAAGGCACATTTTCAACATGTTGGAGGTAGAGTCCGTTTTTCTTTCTTCGGTGGTACAAAAAAAAAAAAAAAAAAAAAAAAAAAAAAAAAACCCACAACGATGTGACATATTTTCTAACCAATACATCCTTAGATTTGAAGGGATCTTCACCAGCCATAACCAGAAAAAAGAAAACACAGTGGTCAAGTCCACCCTCATTAATAATCAAAGGAATGCAAATTAGACTGTGGAGGAGAGAAATGGCCTCCCTATTATATGCGACAGAGATGCTTTGATGAAAAGGTGATGAAGTCATAGACAAAAGGAAGGAAATAGACAGCTCCCTGCAGTTCAGAGCAGCACTAGGCTCATCAAAAGGACCAAAAATATTCTTGCCCTTTGACCTAATAGCCCACTTCTAGGAATTTATCCTGGAACAAATTCCCAGTTGTACGTAGGTGTTCTTTAGCAAGCGTAACCTCAGAAGCCTGACTGTGAGCAAACTTCATTTGGCAGCTACCGATTAGATACACGAAGGTGGTTTTACGTAGTTGAACAATCTACAATACTGTTCATGATTACAAGTAATTATTAGTGTGCATCTGTGTGTGTGCTGTGTGTGCACAAGAACAGCCATTTGCAAGACTCCATTTTAACAGCAAAGCTCAGCCTCCTCCTGATTCAATGTTCCTTTTAAAAACAATTCCAGATTGAAAAGCCCACGGTGTTAATGAGGAA